AAGGCAGGACGTCATTGATATGAAACGGAGGTTGGTGACCGTGGGGGTGTGTTTGCCTAGCTTGAGGATGCTGATGACGTGGGCTTCCTTCCAACCTGGGGGTATAGAGCCTGTTTCCTACGCTTTATTGATTAAAGCGAGCAATTCTGCCAGCTTCACGTCCGCTAGTTAGCGGACGTGAAGTCCCATAGGTAAAGAGAAGGGACCTGGTGCCGTGCTCCGCTTGAGGTTGCGGAGGGCTGCTGTAAGTTCTTGCAGGGAAAATGCAGAGTTTATGCCGCCGTCCTGGCGTTCTTCGCCAGGTTGGATGGTGTAACAAAGGTGTTGGATGTTCCGAACGGCCAGAGGATAGAAGGTGTTCCGAATCTGCTCTGACATCGCGGTGGACGGCGCATTCAACGCCATCTGAAGCTTCTTCAACGTATTACGAGACTTTCTTTTTATCGAGGAAAGTGGGCATTATTCGCCAAGCCCGGGTAGTGTGGAGTCGACCTTTCATGTCGTTGCAGGTCTGGAGCCAGTTGTGTAAGGCGAGATAGTTTGCGTCATTCTGGGCCACTGTGGTGAATTACTCGATAGCACACCGAAGGCATCGGCTGTCAGGACTGTTTCCAGGCCTTGACTGCGCGTCGGCGGCGCTTCGACAGGGTGGGGTGGTGCTTGTCCACGTAGGGGTTGTCTTCCTTGCGGTGAGTTTGTCTAGTGTGGGCTTGGGTAGTTGAAAACATTGAGCGACTCCACGTCTCGGCGTCCTGATGAGCTGTATTACTGGTTTCCAGTGCCATACTTTCCTTGTGCCAGTCCGTGGTGGGGGTGGTGCGTGCAAATTGAGGTCTGAGTTGTTTGGTACGAGGCCTGGGTGTAAGGGATACTTGAATGATGCGGTGGTAGCTACGCAAGTTCATCATGGTGTTATCCCAACAAGCGCCAGTATCGCCGCGGATCCACGTGAGGTCAGTGTTGGTGTCCGTTTCGTGTGTAGTTTCCTGATGGGTGGGATATGAGGTGTCATCGAGGAGGGTCATGCGGTGTGTGTTGGAGAGGGCTTCCAATTTTCGTCCTGGCTGTGGTTCGATTGTATTCAAAGCTGTGATCGGGACAACTTAAGTCACCGAGAAGGAGGATGATCTGCAGTAGGGTGGAAAGTTGGGCTAGTTGGTAGTTATTCATCTTGGTTTTAAAAGCGCACAACAGCAGCGTCCCATAGTTGCGTTGCGAGTGAGCGCTCGTCCGTCGTTTGTGTTTCTTACTCTGTCCTCGTCTTTTGTGCGCTTTTAAAACCAAGATGAAGGAGGATGATGTTCTGGCCTTTCGTGGCTTCCAGGCTGCTGTGGAGCGGGGGAGGACGTGCGGTTGCAGAGACTGTGGTGTCCAGTCGGTGTTCGCTAACGTTATACGCTCTCCGTACACTTGGGTGGGGGTGACGACATGCTGCTGGCAGGGGCAGTTGAGGTGCGTTGAATCTCTTGGATGGTGGCTAGGTATCTTTTGAACTGCGTAGTCACCATGGCGAGGTGGGCGGTGCAGTGGTCGTCCCTCGGGGCTCGTGGACAATACTCGGCTGCGTGAACTTTTTTGTATCCCGGGATAGCAAAGCCGCCGTGGGTCTCTTGCAGGGCTATAACGTTGGGATGTATGTCGGTGCTGCGCATGTATTAAATGAGCGTGCTTTTTTTTTGTTTTTTGTTTTCTTGCGTTTGAGACATTGACAATCCTCGATGATAAGTGGTTGGGCGACGATTCATGGTTGGATGCCGGTGCAGTAGCATTTAGAATAACATAATGAGTGTGATGACCGTTCGAAGAATAGCAAGAATATTCTGTGCCCATTCTGCGACAACTCATTTCAGCAAAATCCATGCTAGGTGTTGTTTGAAGATACCGAACCCATCCCTTGACTGAAGATGTGTCAGTTGAAATGGATGGTGTGTTTTGATCTGATAAATTGCTCTGCCTTGAATAAGTCGGAGCAGACTCTATCACTTTGGAGACTGTGATGAGGTAACTAATGTGAACTTGGCACCGCCTTCCTCGGGCGTGAGTTTGATTTGTTCTCCTTTGAACCCTTAGTGACTGCAACGTACGAAGCTTCCTTTGAAGTTTGGTTTTCGAGCGTGCTTCTCAAGTTTATTTGAAGAGTTGGAGAGCGCGCCTCGCCTTTTCTGGCTAGCTCGGGCCATTCGGTTTCATAAACCGCGGTTCCATTAGTGCTGGAAATCGACTGCGTGTTCTGGCGAAAATCATGGTTTCTGTCTTTTTTCCGTTTAAAACACGTTGGTGATGTAGCCATGTGAATGGCTCCGCAGTTCATGCACTTTTTTTGTGCAGAACAGCTGTCTGTGTTGTCATGAGTGCCACAGCAGCGGCCACATACTGGATTCTGCTTGCAGGCTGCTTCGCGATGTCCATAATTACAGCACCTCCGGCACTGTAATGGGCCCTCCTTGCATAAGGTCACTGATTACCAGACGTGACGTGGCCAATGTAAACGTAGCTTGGCAGCATCGATCCATATAAAGAAATCTTTACCGCTGAAAGTTTGCCTATTCGTGGTCGCTCAACTCTGTTTTCTGGAGACCTTAAGTTATCGGCAATCTGTGCATCAGTGAACGTGGTGTCCACGTCCCTGACTACTCCAGTGGCGTAATGTCTAGAAAGGGGATCGTAAGTTCGGATCTTGACTCCACAGAGCTCAGTGCAGCCTAGGAGTGCTCGCGCTGTCTGGCAATTTTTTGTGTCGGTGGCAAAGAGATTGAGACGTCTATTATATCTATTTTAACTATTTTACTGTTTTAACTATTCATAGCTAATTTTGTTCTTCTGCTACTCCAATGTTATGTGACCTTGATTTATTTTTCTTATCACCCTGGTAAAGTGTTTTATATGTTTGTTGTACGAGCCGCTGCCATGTATAAGGGGGACCCAGACCCAGTCAAGCTGCTTTTAGCAGCTCTTTGTCGGGGGACCCCTCGAGTACTTCTGGAAAAATAAAGTTTATTGTATTGTATTGTATTGTATTTGATCTCACGGATACATTCCGGGCACATATTTTTCAAATGTAGGGACAGGTTTGGACTGCTTAGCGATGTAAGCCTTGTGTTCTCCTCGGCCGGTGTGAATATGACAGTAGGCCCTTCAAGCATTACTGTACAGCTGCAGATTTTTAAACCACTAAAGCTAAAATTGAAACTGTTTTTGTTTTTGTTTTTTTTGCTTTTTACTTTATTTGGGGTCTTTTACTCTTTGCTGTCAAGATCAGAGTGTTCCATGTCACTGGATAGCATAAAGACCCGCCGCGAAGATTTTGGGGCGTATTGCTGGCCTGGAGTGATATCCGCAGTCTGGTTGATGGCTGAGTCTCCTGAATCTGCGATTGAAATGCCAGAGTTGGAAGTAGGCATATGCTGTAGTGATAGGCGGAAGCGTATTTATTCAAATGCAGCAAAGTTGAGCCGGTAGACATGGCAAGGTCGGTTCACTTGTACCAGGGAAATAATCCTAGTGCGGCAAACCACACCGCCGAGAGGCGTGGATCACTTTACAACGGTGTCTGTAGTTCGTACTGTCCATTCCGGAGTATGATATATAATATTCTGATAAAACAGAGCGAGCACACAACCTTTTTCAAAACACTTCGTCCACTTTCCTCTTTGCCAGAGAGGTTCGCCTAAGATCGGACTATGATGCAGAAAATTTTATTTGCTTAGATTATAGAAAGCAATTACTTCCATACGGTAGATTTTTTTAATATAAATCTGAAATACACCGCGCGACACAGTTAGTGCTAACACGACATCGGAGGTTTCGTTTCGTATTTCACTCATTGCGTATATAAACACCAAACTCAATTTGGACCGCCTGATTTGAAGACCCGTGTTTGCAAACCTTCTACCTGCTTGTAATATAACTTTTTCAGTTGTAAAATAAACAAGGAGCGATGGGCAGTCGCTCTTTTGTGCAATCTGTGTCGCGCTCTTGACCAGATATTTCACATAGAGCTGCTTACTATCTCCGTTTGCATAAGAACCAGAGTGAAACAAAAAGAAGTGAAAGCATCTCAACTAATACCTCGAAATTGTGCATGACGAAAATCTCAGTAAAGTGGGAGGAGAAAGCGGGGAAACCGACCAGTGATCCCTTACAAATGACTGGTTCATAGGCATATTTATTTGTATCCTAGACACGAATTATTAAAATCGAGGCCTAAACTCATAAAAAAGCGTGCTGCTACAAAGTTAAAACAATTTATCCCTGTCATCACACTCCCCATAAAACCTGGTATGATATTCGGTAATACAGTAAAACCCGTATATAACGAACCCAAGTACAGCGAATTATTGTCTATATCGAACTGACGGAAAATTTCAATAAAAATGCACGTAAAAAGTGCTTTTTATAACGAACAACCTATTTGCTATATCGAACTTTTTACCCCGGGAACCCTTCCAAAAACGCGCAAACAACCGTCTTCCAGCCTGTCCCTCCCCCCCCCCCCCCCACACACACACACACACACGCACACACATACACACCAATAAAAGAAAGGTAGGTAAGAAAGAAAATTTCAAAAGCTCAAGTCGCGAACAAAATTGATCGAAGAGAGGCGATTCAGAGAGGGAGAAAGCTAAAAAAGCACCACACGCAAGCACAGAAAAAAAAAAAAAGAACTTTCATCCCAAAGCGGTTGTTCACGAATAGAAGCGATTCAGAAGTGGAGATAAGCTAAAAGAACAAACTCTGCATGCACGCGAAAAGAAGAAAAAAAACTTTCCAGCGCTTTGTTACAAGGCGGAAGCGAAGAGATGAGAAAGGAAGAGAAGCTCTAGCCTTACAACGAACGCATCGAAGAAAATCGTTGTAAATGTTTTTTTCTATATCGAACTACTTGCTATATCGAACTGATAGTAGCATTTCCTGCTGTTCCTTTAAACGGGTTTGACTGTAAATAGCGACTGTGAAACGACGGCTTTTGGAAACTAATTCAGAGAAGATAAAAAGGATCAGCTCATGACTTTGGAGTCATTGCCGCAAGTCATCTGTTCTGCGGACAAGGTCTTCAGGTAGCTTCCCTTGACCGCCGCCGGTGATACACAGTGAGCGTAGGTCCAGTCCTCACTGTACTCCAGCAAGAACCGGAGCCGGCAGTCGCAATGCAGCGGGTTTCCTGGGGACAGCAACAACACAGGATGGTACTAGCATCCCCTTCCAATGGCGATGTGCGCTTTGGTCTCAGTTTGCGGATTTAATACGCAATTAAAATAAATGCAATATATTTTTTTCTAATTGAGGTGAAGCATTCTACACTATATTGCCGTGTATTGCCATTATATACGTGCCCTGTTGTTGTTGTTTTTTATCTCCGTTTAAAATATACAGCTTCGAAACGCACACATTTGTATACATTGATATTTTGCTTAATATTGGTGAGTATACGTCGCAATATCTCGTAACGTTTTTAAGCTTTACTATATTTCAATATAATCTTCTTAACAGGATCAATCACCTAGACAAAAATTGTTGCTTTAATTTGTAAATAAAACCATTCACAGCACTTCAAACCTGTCTCAAGATAAACCTGTCACAAGATACAGCGTAAAATTTAAAAAAATCACATTTTTTTTTTCAAATTTAAGTTAAATAATTTTTACCTCATCGCCGTGTTTTCCCATTAAAAAAAGTAGGAATATTTCGCCTCGTCAAAAATACTGCGCTTCGAAATGTACCTTCCAAACTGACATTTTTGCCGAGGTCCGCGGCTTTTACTCCTTCTTTCACACATAAAAAAAAAAAAAATTAACAAACAAGACGGAACACAGAACATGCCGTGTTCGGCGCTCCGTACTATTTGTTTATTCTTTCGTGCGTAAAATTTAACCTTACCAACACGCTCGGTTTTAACTAATTACTCCCACGATTTATAAAAGAAAAAGTTATAATTGTAATATATATATTTTTTTTAATTTGTGTACAAGTGCAAATATTAGATATCTGACACAATAAACAGATTCATTGAGTGTACCTATAGAGTCTCGGCAGTACTTAGAAGCATCAACATGCACCCTCTTGTGATGAGCCCGCCTTCTCGCTTGTTCCATTGGTCACCGCTCGGTGACCAATGCGAAAACTGAAACACAATGCGGTGACCAATGCGAAAACTGAAACACAAATCCCGAGGAAGAAGCGAACACGACAACTCCGTTTGCGGTCTCTCGGGGTAGGAACCGACGGCAGCATCTCAGTGGAATGGAGAATTAACACTTCACTGTTTCTAACACATTTGCGCGCGTACCCAGCATCGACCTATGGAACAAGCACGGAGTCTGGCTTATCACAGGATGCGTTCATGGTGATGGTTCAAACTCCTGCCGAGAGTCTATGCGGGGAGCAAGTCGTATTCTGCTTGCGCAGGAGTCGCCATGACGTCAGAAGGACGCCGAGCTCTGATTGGCTTTGGTTGAAAGGATAGTGGATACACCTCAGTGCTAGATGCCTTGAAGACTACCCGCTATTTGATTTTTCAATCAGCCAATAAGAGATCGGCGTTCTGATCGCACTCCCTGTGCAAGAAGCAGACGAACTTGCACTCCGCATAGCTGCGCTTAGTGAACCTGCTTCTAGTGTCAGAAATCTAAAATTCAAACTGGGCACGAAAAAAAAAAAAAAGGTAATCTCACGAAAACGTTTTTACGGCGACAGCTGTTAGCAGTCCGTCTCCCGATTTCGTAACGGCGTGAGCGCGGACGCCGTCAGTTTCCCGCTAAATATAGCGGAAAAAAATGACGTCGCGTGACCTATGTACACATCGCGACACCGTTAGCGCGAACACGACATCGGCGCCTTTTCGCATTTTATTAGGAAAGAGTATTAGTGGGGCACACACTTTTACCCCTTAAATTAGAGCCCTAGATGAGCTCTTTCTACTATAACAATAATATCTTTGATGACAGCCTTTCGGATTTAAAGAAAAAACACAAAAAACTGGTGATTGCCTCTTCGTGCTAACAACGTTGCGCTCTGTACCAATTCAGTTTCCTCCTAAAATTAGCGGTAAAATTGCTATCACAAACCAGACGCCGCGGGACCATCACCAAAATTCAGGTTCCCCGCTAAATTTAGCGTAAAAACTGACGTCACTGGACCCATGCCCCAATTCAGTTTTCCCGCTAACTTTAGCGGAAAAATTGATGTCACGTGACTTATGCACCAATTCAGTTTCCTCGCTAAATTTTTCGAGAAGCAGGTTCAGATCACGACCCTAAATCCTTTCTTCATCAACAACGTATCGACGCCAAGTCAAGGCAACGTTCTTTCAATATCAGAGCACCGTACGTCGCGCGATCGTCGCAATGTCAATCGATCGTCATCGTCATACCGTCGAATAAGCGGCACAGCTGTCGCTCTCTAAACGCGTCGCGTACAAGTTGAAAAAGAGATAATATCACGATAACTTTCTTTTTCATTCAATGAAGGAGTAATTGAGGCTTTTGACTGCGACAAACATGTTGGCCTGGAAGCTACATTTCGAAGCGCAGTACATTTGACCAGAAAAATAATGCGACATGTTTTTGGTATTTTTAGTTTCTTTTTATTAATGGGAAAACACAGTGATGTGGTGTGGAAAACTTTACTTAAATTGGAAAACAATAAAATTTTGAATCTCGTTTAATCGAACGTTAAATTTGCGGAACCTTTTACCTTGAGAAATTTCGGAAGCGTTGTAAATAGTTGCATTTATAAACTAGAGCAACAATTATTATCCAGATAATAGACCCTTTTGAGAGGAATATATGAGCAGAAAACTAGTTAATTGTGAAGCTTAAGAACGTTAAATCCTTTCAAAGACCGCATCCTAAAAGAAAACAACCCGGGAAGCATGCCGTCAGCTCCCATTCTGCAGTGCTGACATCGACAAGCAGATAATTGAAACTGACGAAACGGGTTATTCGGACGCGTTTTAAATGAGGCTGACGCTGCCCAACATCACCCGGATACCAGGAGAAAGAAGAACTGATGGAAAAACGAAGTCGGAATTGACGTCTTTTTGGCCCTCGTTGACGTACAATCCCTTACAAGAAAAAAATACTTATACATGGTTTAATTACTTTAACTTGTACCTTAAAGGCCCGCAATGCTGCGTCACCGTACTGCTGTAACAACGGCAAACGGGGCAACTTAACTCCATGAAATCCCATGAGGTCGCGAGAGTCACTGGGTAACCTTACACTGGAACTCCCGACCTTCTTGTCAGAACCGCCGCTCGTCGAGGGCTTCACAATGGACATCGTCTGTGCTGCGTCTCACTAGTTGAGTGCAGTGCATGCGAAGGCAACGCCAGCACAAAGGAAGGCGGGACGGGAGAGGAGGGCGATGGAGGGCGAGGGGAAAAAGGGAGAGTACTAGGAACGTTAGAGAGGAGAGGAGGTTTCTCTCTTGTGCACCAGCCTTCCTACTGGTTTCGCTTTCTACCCTCGCCTGGCGTTGCCTTCGCCTGTACAGCACGCAGCTATTGACACTGAGTATGGGATCGAATCGAAGCGGCGTGGAGTGTGCTCGCAAGGCTTGCTCGCCGTCGAACTTAAAGGGTGTCATCGACTTCCGTGGAATAGAATGATAGATTAAGATAGTAAGTCCTAACAAAAACCCACACGCCCATTACTCTCCGTCGGGCCATAATGTTTCAGCCTTTCAGCACTTTCACAAGATTTACATGTGTTTTTTTTTTATGTCTTCATGGCTTGAAATGGCATACATCGGTCCTTCAAAAATCGCGACTGGCCCATTAACCTATCTATCTGCATCGGGTGCCACAGAGGTGTGCGGAACACTAGAGGTCAGCACTGGAGGACGGAGGTACGGTTGTCCCGTCCTCGAGAGGAGATGTTCAGCTCGCCCTAATTAACGCATAATATCCGTAGACCTCGTCGAACAACTTCAAGCCAGCAAATTTAGGGTCGTATTAGTTTTACGTTAGCCGAACGCACCCCTTGTTTCTCAGATCTCAAAAAGAAATGGTGTGGAAAGTGCGCTTCGGTATGTATTGCACGGTCACCTATCTGTCTCTTGTATACATTTCTTGTCGCCAGTGTAACTGGCATCAGTCTTATATGTTTAAAGCTTTAGAATCTACACTTCAAACATTTACGGCATTGACGCTATCGCTGCCATTCGAAAGTGTGGCAGATCGTCACACACTTCATCCTTACCGAACAGGTACACGTATGTGCCGTTCCTCAGCGGAGCCAGGCTTTTCTGGTTTAGGGTGGTAATGTTGTTTCGGCCAACGTTGAGAAACTCGAGGAGTGGGAAGCCCTGGCCGATGTCTTCTGGAAGAAACGTCAAAGCGTTCCTCCTGGGCAGAAAAAAAAAAAGACGAGCATTTTGTAACGTAGATTTGATATTCAAATATTTTGGTATGCCGCCACGATTGAAACTTACTTTCTATTACCCCTCAACGCCTGTCATTCTCCTCCCCTCTGCCCGTGTTAGTTTTTTCTCTTTTATGTTTGGATAGCATTTACGCGAGGGGATTTCTCCTTTTCACATTTATTCTCCGCAACAACAGTTCTTTACTATAAATTGTTTCTTCTTTATGCGAAACAATCCGCCCAATGTTTCGCTAATCAAGCTTCTTTTGGGGCCTATGTGCAACCAAGTGAACTCTTGTCGCGGTCGCGGTAGCTCCCTGTCAGTTCCCACCCCGGTCCTTTTCGATCTGTATCAGCATCGTACCGGCGTCTGTTCGTCTAGTCACTAGTGCCCAATGCACGTTAAAGGCCATAGATCAGCGGTCGTACTGCACTTACCTAATTGTTCACCAAAAGCGGATACATGAAACGCACATTGAGTGAAACTAATATCCCGCGCTTAGTTTTACTCAAGAACATCCCCAAGGATACGGACAGAAAGTGTTAAAAAAAAGCATCTTTGGCATATCGAGACGCAGAAAGGAGCACACCAATCAAAGAACAACGGGCATATTACCCGCCAAGTACGCACCTCACTGGGTGAAATCGGAGAATCTAAAGCAAGTGGGCGCGTCTGGAGGGTGAAGAAATGCACGGGTTGCGCAAAAAGAGATTCTGGTCAAAACGTCCATCAAGACAAAATGTTCATTGGGTCAAAATGTCCAACAGGTTATGGGAGACGCGTGTCAAAATGTCCACCGAGACAAAATTTCCAATCAGGTCGAAATGTCCACCGAGTCAAAACATCCATCTAGATGATAGATGATGTCTCGGTGGACATTTTGACCCCAATAGGGTCAAAATGTTCACCGAGACAAAATGTCCAATCAGGTCAAAATGTCCACCGAGTCAAAACATCCATCTAGATGAAATGTCCAATAGGGTTAAAATGTTCACCGAGTAGTCGAAATGTTCACTGGGTCGAAATGTCCACGCAATCAAAATGTTCATCGGATCCTTTTTTTAATCTATTTGCGAGTTTTGGAAACCCGACAAAATATATTTCTAAACAAGGTTGAACTCGGAACCTAGAAAACAAAAGTGACTGATAGCTCGAAAACCAGAAAGTGTGCGAAAATCAACTGGTCTCTGAAACTTTATCTTTACACGTACACGTTCCATGCCACCCTTTTCTCGATGTTTGACCAGTTGACCCAGTGACAAAGTGTCCTATAACGAACTCCCCTATGCGACCACGATTTCCGCTTTATCGAATTGTCTTTCAACCGAACGCCCGCCTCCCCCGTTCCGCTAAGTATGTAGGAGGTTTAGTTTAAAGGGATACTTCAACGAAATTTGAAATATTCCCGTCGTGTTCTAAAATAGGTTGAATATGATCCACAATATCCGTAATGACAATCGCACGTTTGTATTTTGATCCTGGTGGCTGTATTTTTTGTTATAAACGGCCCACTCTGGCAAGCGCTCGGAGAAGGCCCAGCTTAGAGCACGTGACATCCAACGCAATCGTGACGTAGGTCGTCTCAAGACGAGCAAAGCTACGGCGAGGCTGACGTCGAGAGGATGGCCTAGTCGTTCCAGCCACCGAAGCGGCTGCTTTTGTACGAATTTTGAGTGGCGGGTTAATCTTCTATAATCTTCTAGGGGGACAATAGCGACCTCTGCGACACACAAAAGGGATTCTTGGGAAGAGGGGAGTTCCTCCTTCCCCCCTTCTCTCGTCGTGGCCGAAGACGAGACAACCTCCGTCACTAGCTGTCAAGGTTCCTAGACGAGCATTACAAACGAGGCGTTAGCGACATCCACCAGGTGCTCTTTCCTAATCGTTTAATTCGTTTTAAAATTCCTTTTCGAGACTTTTTTAACAAGATATTGGTATGTTCCATGCGATACTGCTCTTTTGAACACATATAGACCAAAAAAATGAGCACCGAAATTTCGTTGTAGTATCCCTTTAAGGTTTGTTGTACTTTGCTATGCTCGGGGACCTTGTGGTGTGTTGAAGTGTAGCGTTGCCTCAGGCAGCAATGTGTCATTTGCTATAAAGATATATTTCTAAGGTTTCTGCTACAAACGTCATCATGCGCAGCTCGTTCACTTTCAGCCAAAGCAAGCAAATCGTTGTTGTTTTTTTTCAAATTTCAAAATTAGTACAGGCGAGAAACTTGTTACCCGTCTTTTGGAGCCAGAAAATTATTCTCAACTTCCTTCTTTTTTAATCTTCGTCTTAATTCATTCTTGACATTATTTCATCTAAATAAAAAAAAAACATTTTAGAGTAATCCTGTGGCTTTTTTTTTTTTTAGTTATATTAAACCATAGGGTACTGTTAATACGCAGGGCAGGAGCGGCTACAACCCTGTTTTTCTGAGCGTTAAGCTAACTTTAATTTTCCAGAACGTAACCGGCAACAGTTCGATACCGAAGCGAAATCGAAGGCACCATGAAGTGAATTCTCGGTTGGGATAAAAAATCATGAGCTATTCCACTCTGTGAAGATAGATGACCAGCGGAACTGTTTAGCACACGACATAAAACCGGCCCGATGAGCCGGAGGAAACTAGACACGCGCAACTGGACCGCTACCCGGGGGAAAGTAGACACGCGCGATGAGACCGCCACTCCGAGAGAGCGAAAGAAAAGGAAACTAGGCACGCAAACGAGAAAGGGGGGAAGGGGGATGAGCTTGGGACGACAACAAAAAGAGGGCAGTGCGAGCGTAGACATAGCCGACACGGGTCGCACAGCGGCAAATCTTTGAGAAACCCTTATTATCTATCTGAGAGTCTATTGATCTTGAAAATGGTGCCTATTGAAAACTAATCTACCAAATTAACCTATTGATAAATTATCCAAGCATCAAGGAGAATGCATAGAGTGGTGTTCCACGCGCCGCACGTGCCGGTGCCTGCAGCAGTAACTGTTCTAAAGCAAAAACCTAAAAGAAATGACATCTTGCACGCGCGTTCGTCAACGCTTTCTTTATGTTATTTACTTCGAATATTTTATACGGGGAAGGCGTGTGCGGTGCGAGCGTAGAGTTTTTAGTCACTGCACAACGAAAAATGCACAGAAACCTAGCCAGTGTTGGGTAAGTTACTTTTAAAAAGTAATTCGTTACAGTTACAGTTACTTTCAGTAAAAAGCAGTGAAGTTACCGTTACAGTCAACGCAACAAAAACGTAACTCGTTACAGTTACAGTTACTTTTAAAAGTAACGGCAATACTTTTCAGTTACTTTTCTATAACGCTAAAAAATGATGAAACACTAGAAAACGCCCCTCACCAAGTTTTATTGCATAAAAATTAAAAATCATGCTTTTTAGTTTATATCGAAACTTAGCAGCAGTTGCTTTTTGCAAATAGTGGCTGAAAGTTTCCCTCGTTTGATGGCGAGCACGTCCCTGCTCTTGCTGAACAGGCCCCGCGCAACCAGAGCAACAAGCAAACCCCGCGCAAACAGCAGCAAATCTTGCCTCGACTGTTGCACCACGCCGGAGCAGTGGCGCAAATCGAAATAAGAAACATGCGCAGTGCCCTCCGTGTGTCTTGTTGTTTCACGGTTGATTCACCCGATTAAAAACCGTATGAGCAGAAAAAAGAACAACCGCAACAAAGATTGGGCTTTAAGATATACTAAGATGTAAGTGTCCTTGCACAAAGTACAAACGCGTGCAAAGCATAACTAGACTTTTTTTATCACATTTACACGTGGCTATATCCGGGTCGAGACTCGCGAGGAAGAACGTGTTCACAAGTTTAGTCAAGGCCAACTTAAACTAGCAATGTTAAAACAGGCAATTTGGAAACTGCAAGAAATAGCCTAGATTGTACTCGCTCAATAATTTATTATTCTTAAAGCACTGGAAAGTAACGATAAAAGTAACGTCGTTACTTTCATCGTTATTTCAGAAAAAAGTAATAGAACTACAGTCACAAGTTACATTTTTAAAAAGTAACTCGTTACAGTTACAAGTTACCAAATAAGTAACGAAATTACAGTAACGCGTTACTAGTAACGCGTTACTACCCAGGACTGAACCTAACCATAAACAGCTTCGCTATAATAGGAATTTTACTAATCGCATGTCGTTTAGTCCGCAAAAATATAACTAAAGCACGAGCACAGAAAGCCTATAGCCTGCTTTCCGGTACTAAAGTTTAAAAACATAGCAGTCTATTTTGTACCTTCTTTCCTTCTAAAGCTCTCCGCCTTTTCACTTAGATGCATCCTCGGTTCCCCATCACGCAAGCCGAACCCAGCTCACGCATTAGACACGAACACTGCGACACTTGGACGAATGCGCTCGTCAACAATCCACCCGTCGACGAATATCTGAATTCGCGTTCGTGGCCAGTGAGTGCCGTGACGGCATTTATCATTTGAGAATGACAACTTTGATGGTGTGCTCAAAAAGCACTGTCGAAGCTTGGAGCCATCGGCTCATTGACCAAGAACGTCACGAGTAACGATCACGTGATTTCTCCTCTCGCTTTTGACTTGAGGATTAATGCTAAAGAGAAAGAAGTTGAAAAATCACTTCATTAACTTTTCATTTCATTAAAATAGAGACGTGTGCATCCTGTGCATTCGTTTTTTGAGTACTTAATATTTGCCACATTTCTCGAACAAATTTTAGAGATTTAGAATGGTGTAGTGCTATTCGTTAGAGTGGGGTGAATACTTCGCGGGACCAGATGTTTGAGATTGTTCTTAAATAGCTAAATTTGTGTAACTAAAGTCAGCAAACGCGCGCCATTGATTTTTTTTTTTTTCAGTCGTTCACATTTTTTTTTAAATTTCTAGCACTTTTTTTCTGAACATTCGGCATCTTGTTCCAACCACTGGGCACCTTCAGGCGGAGGTTGAGCGGGCCTTAGCGTTTGTCTTATTTTTAGAGCGCGGCTCTTAGGCGCCCGTTTC